AAAGAGCTAAAAGAGAGGTTGGAAACCGCAAATGCTAGGGCTCAATCATTTGAGAAAGAATCAAGGATTTTGCAACAAGAAAAGATTCATTTGGATCAGAAGTACCTATCTGAATTTCAAAGGTTTGATGAAGTTCAGGAAAGGTGTAGACTTGCTGAACACGATGTGAAAAAGGCTACTGAAATTGCTGATAAAGCAAGAAATGAAGCTAGTGCTGCTCAAGAGGAAAAGAATGAGATGCAGAGGTTGGCAATGGAGCGGTTGGCTCGAATAGAGAGGGCTGAGAGGCAAATTGAAAGTCTGGAAAGGCAGAAGAAAGATTTGGTGGAAGATTTGCAACGAATTCGGGGGTCAGAAATGGAAGTCATGTCAAGAGCTGCATCATTGGAAGCAAGAGTTGAAGAAAGGGAAAAAGAAATAGAGTCTCTATTGAAATCGAACAATGAGCAGCGTACTAGCACTGTTCAAGTTCTTCAGGGCCTTCTGGATTCAGAACGTTCTGCACATGCAGAGGCCAACAACAGGGCAGAGGCTCTCTCACTTCAGCTGCAATCTGCTCATTCAAAAATTGATTTACTCCAACAAGAGTTGACTAGAGTTCGTCTAAATGAGACAGCATTGGATAGTAAGCTGAAGAGTGCTTCTCATGGGAAACGTTTAAGGGTGGATGATGGTGAGATGGGCATGGAATCTGTCCAAGACATGGACACAAGTGACAGAATTTTGAGAGTAAACAAAAGAGCTAGAAGCACAAATAGCCCCATGAGGTATGCTCAGCCAGAGGACGGCGGATCAATTTTCAAGGGGGATGAAGATAATCATAGCCAACAAACAAACCAGGAAGATTATACCAAGTTCACTATCCAGAAGCTTAAGCAAGAACTCACAAAACATAACTTCGGCGCCGAACTGCTTAAGTTGAAGAATCCCAATAAAAAGGACATTATTGCGCTGTACGAGAAATGTGTACTCAAACTATGATATTGTAGATTTGTCTTTAGGATTTGTATAGGTGGATGAATGTAATCTACAAGGAGATGGAAGTTGTTGATCCATTTAGGACTAGAGAGCGTTTTCAAGTTTTCTAGGGGTTTGTTTAATGGATTTTGTCATGAAAGGGGTGTGGTCTCCTCCATGTTTTCGTCGCTCTAGATTGCCATTCTTCAGGTTAGATTATTTTGGTTCTTTGGCGCTGATATTTCTCAACGTCTTATTTCTAGAACGTATGTTTGAATTGTTGAGATTTATTGTGAGTTATTGTGGGTCATATTCATAGGTGTGCATTTGCTAGTAGGGAACAGAAAATTTATCCAACTCAGATGGAGCTTTGGGTTCACTTGATTTGTTTCCAGTGCCTCTCTTCTGTAGGCTTTTCCGCTGCTTTAGCTTCCTAAACTCTTAAATCCGTGCTTATTGGGTATAATGTGTATTTGACAAGTGTTTTTTTCTTTTTCTTTTAGTAATGTGATTCACCTGTTTGCTTTTTCGAAGGGGTTGAACCGTTCATCTTGTACGTATTTGGACATTAAAAAAAAATTGTATTCGATCGAGTATATAGTAAATCGCTTTCTGTATTGAATAAGATATCAATTACATATGAATTCTTATTCGAAACCAATATATTCGAAACCAAAAGAATATATTTGGAATAGTTTACAATATTATTAGAAATCGTTAAAAAATCTCAATATTAATCGTTAAAAAATCTCAATATTGTGAAACACCCATTCCACACAAAAGTAGCCCACATTTGAAGTTGGAAGAAACCACTCAACTGAAAGTTGTCTGACGAGTATTAGAGTGGGTTGAATGTGCACCACTCACAACAACAGAAGAAGACGCTTCTCCTTCTCCTTCTCCGAAATCGAATTCTCTATGTACTTTCTCCCCTCCTCCAATCTCATACAAAGAACTCATCATCGGGTTGCCGTAATCAACAAAAACTGCACTGGTGTCAGGCGAATAGCCGCCGTCTCCGCCGCCCCATTGTTTAACAATACTGTTCTGGTGGGAGGAGGAGCTCTGGCGCGGCTGTTTCTGAAAGAAGACCTTAGAAGCCACCAATTGGCCGTCTTTCTCGTGCTCGGTAACACCCAGATGATACTGATGCATTATCCAGTTCGTCTTTTGCGGCTTCCTTTCACTCCCATAATTTGAATACAAAACTAAAATCTTCTTGAAACCCATCACAACGCCACCGTCGGCGCCAATGATTGGCCTTGTCTTGCCGGTTTTGTGCCATCTTGTCTCAGTGCCTTCTTTGTCTGTTTGAACCTTCCTGCGTTTCCTGGAGCCGGCAGTGTACGCTTTGGACGGCCGATGAAAAAAGTGCCGGATTTCCCCGTCTTTTCTCATACCTGCACTTCACGACAACAAGGATTTCAATTTTCATCTAAAATGCATTTTAAAATTCCTACTCACCCCCATTGCACTATTCCATAACAATTGACGCTTGCTATGACATCAAACCTTAATCTCATTCTTATATATTCAATCTTTATGACCACGCATTCCTTCAAACATATATTCCTTAAAGGTGGGGCTCACGTTTTTGTATAATAATTACGCGACCCCTTCTCTTTTTTTTCTTTTTTTCTTTTTTATTTTAAGCATCATATTGCATCACGAAAAAGGCATTCTTTTGGAGCCCAAAAAACCATAAATTAACTTGAAAGGCTACCCAATTTGATTCTGTCCCAAACTTCCGTTTTGTATTTTGTATTTTTGGTTGAATTTTTCAGGATTTTTATGTTTATGAAACATATATTTAAAATCATAGGATTTTTAATCATATTCAAACTAACACGTTCTCTATGAAGATGAACAAAGAACTTCTTAAGGTGTACACACGACCTAATAATCCAATCAACTTAGATTATCTAACTCAAATGTTAAAAGTTGGGCGAGGTTCTTTTCTTTTTCGGTTTAGGTTGAGTTGAATTTTTTGAAAATCGAAAATATAATTTAGTTTGTAAATTGATACATTCTTTTTATCTCGTTAGATCAAACCAACCTAACCAACTTAAAAATAGGGCTAGACTACTTTTAAAAATATTGAGAATATTTCATGTTTGTTCCAGCTAAATATTTTTGTTTGTTTGAGATTTTAATTATTAATATGTAAATAAATATATATTTCAAATAATTAAAAAAATAATTCTAAACCCACTTGAAATTTTAGATTTGTTCAAAAGATTACCTTAATGAACTCGAAAACAGTAGAGGAAAAAGAAAAAGGAATTACCAGGGAGATTTTGAGGGTGGGTGTAACAAATGCCATCTTCACCGTCTAAGGTGGGGATGAATTGATCGAGAAGTGGATGAAGCTTTCGCTTATCGCGTTTAACTTGAGCGTCCAAATGCTCCAGAATCTGTTGGTCGCTTGGATCGAACTTCACTCCCGCCGGAAGCCTCCCCCAACCTTCGAATCCACCCTGACACATACACACACACAACACAACACAACACAACACATCTCAAATCTCCGAATTCCATTTGGCTTATAAATTGGAGGAAGAAGCCAATTCAGTAGCCGTACCTGACGTTGGAATCGAATGGGATGGGCACAGGATGGGCAAATTATAGATGGAAATGCAACGCCTAATCCTCCCTCATTAGGGTTTAACCAATTCATTGATTCGAGTGCCAATTCCGATTCTACTATCCAGTTTCTGTTCCACCCTTCCTCTAATATCTATCTATATATACACCGAATTAAACCGACACACTTTAATGCATTACCACCAAAACCCTTCCTTGCCCAACAAGTTAAACTTCGCCTTCTAAGCATTTTCCCAACATCAAATTCTGGTTTGACTTTGACTTTCTATATCCAAATGCTCTTCAACAAACTTCTGCACTAAGGCTCACAATGTCGGCGGACAAAACAAAACTTACGTCACCTCACCCATGCCTCTTTTTTGACAGAATTAAATCAAATTAGACGTTTTATTTTTTTAATTTAATAATATTTACAATTTGCTAAAACCTTCCTTCCTAAATAATTAATTAAAGATTAAAGAGTAAGTAAGTTTCTTAATATTTTATTGTTATTTTTAAAGGTTGAGGATGACATAATTAATCATTCGTGTCATAGCTTACCTAAAAGACATGATTTTGACGTGGAGCTGACTAAGTCAATCAACACCTCGTGTTAGGTTGAGTAGACACCATGAAAATATGTAATATTATTCTTATAAAACCATTTTTTTAACCAAATATGTGAAATCAATTTCTAATTGTCCTCTGAAAGAATTTTGATTTAGAAAGAGCAAGGAACCAACTAAAACACAATTTGATTTATGAGTCTTGTTTTATAAAATATATATATAAAAAGTTCTTTTCAGAATTAATTATAAACATTGAATGAGGTGGAGTGAGAGATTCCTCCCGAGTTGAAACGTGGAACTAAACATTCTTTATTAGAATGCGAAAATCTCTCCCTTTTGGATGCGTTTTTTAAAGTCATAAAGCTGATAGTGACACATAACATACCAAAACAGACACTCTCTACTAGTGGTATACTTGGACTATTACATACATTTAAGACGCTTTTCTATCTTTTCAACCACATCTCAACACTATCCTTTCGATCCTTCTAGCCCAACAAGAGGGTTCTACCTCGATCTTCCATGTATTTAAATTAAATAGATAGTTCAATTAGATTCAAATTTTCATTAAATTTTTTTTTGGAGGAATATCTGATTAAAGGAAGCCACTCCGGTGTTATGGGAGAGAGAGAAGGAAAGAAAGCAGAGTAGGACAAAATGATTTGACTTTGGGAGAGGCATCATTGACAAACTCATCGTTTAAACGACAAATTTGTTGATCCGATACCTTCCGTAATGTAACAAAACCAAATTGAATATTATCCTCCTTTTCAGTTCTCATTTCTTCCAAGTTTTAACGATCCCAATACCTAACAACACCATTCAACATGAACACTCGAGTTCATTTGCAATGCAAAAAATATTATAATTCCCCCATCCCTCCCTCGTTTATGTGTCTCAACATGAACACTCGAGTCAAGCAACAAAATTCCTTCCCCTAAGTCATACGCAATTGCTTTCAAGGCATCACTACCCTCCCTTTGCTTCCACTCATCTTCCACGACTTCGTATTAATACATTCTAACCTTCCGAATTCATTTCAACCTCACCCATGGAGATCAAAGCAGTCGACGAAGAAACCCAGATCAGAATCGAACAAAAACGCCCCCTTTTGCGAGAAACAGCATCCATCCCTTCCAGAGATAAAAAAACTCTCATTCAAAAAGCCATTTCCCAGACGTTTCAGGGCACTGCCCATTTGGCCAATCTCTTACCCACTGGAACCGTCCTCGCATTTCAACTACTTTCCCCCATTTTCACCAATGAAGGCAACTGCGACTCTGTTTCTCGCTACCTCGCCTCTGCCCTCGTGGGTTTCTGTGGATTGTCCTGTTTTCTTATGAGTTTTACCGATAGTTTCAGAGACAGTCAGGGGAATGTTTGTTATGGGTTCGCCACTTTCGGAGGGCTCTGGGTCATCGACGGCTCGGTGGACCTTCCGGACGTGGCGGCGGCTAAATATCGGCTGAGATTTATTGATTTCTTGCACGCTTTCATGTCGATTCTGGTTTTTTGCGCCGTTGCTCTGTTTGATGAGAATGTGGTGAACTGTTTTTACCCATCGCCGTCCAATGCGGCTAAGGAGATTTTGACGTCTTTGCCGGTTGGGATTGGCGTGGTTTGTAGCATGTTGTTTGTTCTTTTCCCAACCAGACGCCATGGAATTGGCTTCCCAATCTCTGCTGATTAGTGCCTACGCCGCTCTCCGCCGGAGTTGCTCTGTGATTCGCCGATTCTTCTTGTGGTTCCATAATTGTTTTCTTTTTTCCTTTTGTAATCATTTCGATATCTCTCGATTTCATCAATTCAGATAAAGGGTTCCTTGGAAACTGACAATGGACAGATGCATGGTTTCATAATCAATCAAATAAAATAATTACTTTAATACGTAACTGTACAAGAAAAATAAAAGATGCTGGCAGATGCGTTCTACTCCTTCCCTTCTTTATTGTTTCAAAAGACACATACGTTTAAGCTAAGTAATACACAATTAGTTGTTGGTTACAAAACTTTATAGATTTCATTTACAAAAATGTCTCAATTTTGGCCATGTTTCAACCCTGACCATACACGACCCTCAATTCAACTTCACACGAAAAGTCCATTCTTTATTAGTGTGCTACGAAGCCACGTACACTATGATGCTTTAATTTGATCATCGATGATCTTAGAGAGCCATGTGGGAGTATTTTAGACATTTATGAACCTATCATGCTATAGAGTAGTCTAAGAACTATCGTTATAATAAAATGTTGTAATCTCGCCCTAATTCTCGCCACATGTTAAATATAATGAAAAATATGGTAAAAGAGTGGACCATTGCTTGATCGAATCATTTTTCAAATAGATCTATTGAGGTTCAGTCTTAATCAAGTTTGTGGATTGGATCATTCATCCAATTCTCTATTTTTAATATTTTCACGTGATTTTTATACATGGGGTTATAAAATTATATATAATAACGTTATAAAAGAAAAATTAAATTAAACTAAAAACTGATGCACAGTAAAGGATTTTGTTACTAAAAATATAATAAAATAAAATAAAATTATTGGGTTTGGTTGGGTTGGGTTCGGGTTCGGGTCAGGCAGTGAGATCCGAAGTGAATCCGTGATTTCTATACTGGATCGGAGCTCCAAAAGGACCCGACTTCTTTTTTTGGTTAACGATAAGGAGATATCTGAACATACACCAACGGTTTTAGAATTCGACACCTCAGCTCCTTCCCCATCTCTCATTCGCCCTCTCTCCCGATAACTGGACCCCACTCCAATCCACATACTATCCCATACTCTCTCTCCTCCGTGATCCCATCTTCCGCCACCTCACCCTCCCACTATACCAACCGTCCCAACAAGCGGTTGCACAATCCCTACTCTACTTCTTCACGCACCCAATCACAAGGAATTACCGCCAGAAATTTGTTCGCGATAAGCCCTCCACAATATATCCTCGCCGTAGCCGACGAAACCACATTTGCCTCTCTCTTTCCCTTCCTCTCTGTCTTTGTTTCTCTCTTCTACTTATGGCGTCGCAGTTGCTCTCACGCGCCACTTACTTCGCTGGCGGCATTCCCAGTCTCCGCAAGTTGCACAGAGAGACCACCACCACTAACAACCATGTCGCCTTCGTCCACACCAGGCCCATCGCCGAGGGAGCCAACTTGATTTGGGGACGCCAATTGCGGCCGTCTCTGCTTCTCGATCACCTCTCGGCCAAACGGGAGACGGTTCGGCCAACCTATGCCGCAGCCTCCTCTTCTCCCGCGGGAGGTAGCGATTCTGCCGGGTGAGGTTCGTTTCCTCCGTTTTGGACCAGATCGGATCCGAGATTCAGCTTTCAACTCATTCTACTTTAATGTTGCAGGGAGGCGAAAGTTTCCCCGGCTGGTTTCTTCGAGAAGTATCCGGCGTTGGTCACCGGATTCTTCTTCTTCATGTGGTAGGTTTCGGGGGTAGGGATAGTGTAGGTCACGTGTTTTGCACGGTGGATGCCGGCTGTAAATCGTAGTTATAATTGTGGTTGCTTTGAGCTGGGTGTTTGCGAAATTACTGTGCTGCCCTTTTTGTGTTGTTATTGTAGGTACTTTTTGAACGTGATTTTCAATATCCTCAACAAGAAGATCTATAATTACTTCCCCTATCCTTAGTACGTATATTATTTACCGGAAAGTGAAAAACTTTCTTCTCCTTTTCAATTGTATTTTAATTTATTCTGTTTTTTTCGTTATTAATGTTTCGAGTTTTTGTCTACGTGGCAGTTTTGTATCCGTGATCCATTTGTTGGTTGGGGTGGTGTACTGCTTGATAAGCTGGGTTGTGGGTCTCCCCAAGCGAGCGGTGAGTCATGGCTCCACAAATCTTTCTTACCATTTTTAAACTCTTGATTTTATATCTAATAAGTTGTATTTAATTTTTTTATTAAATTAAATATCAACTTTACATTTTGTATTTATTAGATTATCAACCTATTTATCATTAATAAACAAATGAGGTTTTTATAATATAGAAATTAAAATTTAATGTTTCAGATTCAATTAGATTGAATTAAATTTTATATATAATGAATACTATAAATTTAGATCTTTTTCAAAAACTTTTGAAATTGAATAACTCACGTAGAAAAAAGAATTTAATACTCATGTATGTGGAAGGGTAATTTTATAAATTATCCACATCAACTTAAATTGATATAAAACATGTACCCTCCTTAAGAAATCAATTGTCGATCCACTTATTTTTACTAGAAATGTCATGAATAGCATTGTTTTTTTAAAGTTTTAGGAATATGTGTTTTAATGAAAGTATTGCAAATATGGTAAATCATCGTTAGGCTTTCCCTTTTGATCTTCTCTTCAAAGTTTTTAAACGCAAACGCGTTTGTTACGGAGAAATTTTCACACACTTATAAAGAATGCTTTGTTCTCCTCTCGAACTAACTTGAGATCTCACAATCCACCTTCCTTTGGGGCCAGTATCCTCATCGACACTTGTTTCCCTCTCTAATCGATGTGGGATCTCACACAAAGGGTCTAAAACTATCTCATTTTATCGGACCTTGGAATATGGGTAGCTTTCTCTCTTAATTTAACACATGGGATGGTCAACATGTGTTTTGGTGTGCAGCCTATTGACTCAACACTCCTGAAGCTGCTGATCCCTGTAGCTTTCTGTCACGCACTTGGCCACGTCACTAGCAATGTCTCATTCGCAGCTGTTGCTGTCTCATTCACACACACAATCAAAGGTAAACCACCAAATTTACTAATGCTTCAGTTTACAACATGTTGAATTTTATCGTTTGCCTAAAAATCTTGTTCATTTTCAGCTTTGGAACCGTTCTTTAACGCCGCCGCTTCTCAATTCATTTTGGGGCAATCCATTCCCATTACCTTGTGGCTTTCATTGGCTCCCGTTGTCATTGGTAAATTCTTCTTCTTTTACCTCATTTTTCCAGTTCTTTAATGCATTTTGATATATTACTTATATGGATTTGGTGGCATGTGGTGCTTTGTTTTTATAATGTTCTGTTTGGATTGATCAATGCAGGTGTATCAATTGCATCTTTGACTGAGCTTTCATTCAACTGGACTGGCTTCATTAGTGCTATGATTTCTAATATCTCATTTACCTACAGAAGTATTTATTCAAAGAAAGCCATGGTTATGTTCAACTCAACTTACCTTTGACTCTTTTAGACTATGGTATCTGTAATTGGAACTGATCTATTCTTTGTTTATAGACTGACATGGACAGCACCAACGTCTATGCCTATATTTCTATCATCGCTCTCCTTTTCTGCATTCCACCAGCTGTAATTGTAAGTTTCAATTTGCTATGAGACGACAAAGCGTAAAAGTTAAAAGAATCTTTATTTATCTCAGAGATTTCATTATTCACAGGTGGAGGGGCCTCAACTGCTGAAGTTTGGTTTCAATGATGCCATAGCTAAAGTTGGTCTAACCAAATTCGTCTCAGATCTCTTCTGGGTGGGAATGTTTTATCACCTTTACAATCAGGTACATTGCCTAAATTTTCTCTTCTTAAAAATACTTGGTCCATTTGATTTTCTGTCATATTTGTTAACAACAGACCCCTATAATATGCATTCAAGAATATGTCTTTGAATTGACTCGTGTGTACCGCCACTAATTATTTGTATCTAAGAGAGGGTGTAGTTTAATGGTATGAAGTAAAGAATTTTGGTTTGGATGGCTCTGACAGTTAGCAACCAACACACTGGAGAGGGTGGCACCACTTACCCATGCAGTTGGAAATGTGCTGAAACGTGTATTTGTGATTGGATTCTCCATCATTGTCTTTGGTAATGATTTCTTTTGTGGGTTTTTTTTCTGGTTTTAATTGTTGCAAGGAGGTGAAAATGTCATAGTTCTTCATGAGATGATGTAATAAAATGGGGTGGCTTGCAGGTAACAAAATTTCAACACAGACTGGTATTGGAACCTGCATTGCAATTGCAGGAGTTGCACTTTACTCTTTCATCAAGGCTAAGATGGAAGAAGAGAAACGAGTGAGTTCTAGCCTTATTTCATTGATTCTAACAGTGTTTTCTAATTTGATTATGTATAAAAGAAGATGGTAAAGAGTTTAGAGTCGAATTGGAGTGATTATCACTAGTTGAATGCTTCATCTTCTATCTTCACATTGGAACCTCTAACTTCATGATCGAGAGTATATGTCTTAACAAGTTGAGTTGTGCTCGTTTAGTTGTTTTTTCTTCCTTCTCCCTAAACGGAGTCTTAATTGTTTTCACAGCGAACAAAGGTGGCTTGAAGAAGCAGCATTGGAGGTGATGGGAAGCATGGAAATGAGGGGAGGATCTGGTGTTGTAAATTTTTAAATAATTCCATCACCAAGAAAAGAAAAAAAAAAAAATCCTATTGCCATGTATCTGTTATTTAATTTTCCCTTTGACCGATCAATTGTTATTGATTCTGAGCTCAGACGTTTACTGAATTTGTAATTATGAATGCTTTCTCATTTCAAGGCATTTTTATTGCCGCAATGCAAAAACCTTTGCTTTCCAATAACATCCCAAAAATGATTCAAAATATTATTTTAGTTGGTCGATTGATGAGGTTTTTGGGATTATAAACCCACCAATGGCCAATCAGCGACGTAATTCATGAACTTGGAGCCCATATTTGCAATCCGGAGTTCACGGATTAGAGAATGAAATGGCGTAGAAATTAGAAACTCAGACACGAATTTTAATAAAAATATACAACAGGGAAGAACTGGAGCTAAAAGTTCATGAAAATTGAGAAGAATCACATGGGAGGGGGAAGGGAGATGGTGGTGGTGGTAAATTAAAAAAGAAAAAAGAAAAGTGTTGCTCGACTTTGATTCATTAAAAAGCGTTTTTTTTAAAATAAGGAATTAAAGAAATTAAGGAGAATTATGGAAGGTTGGATTAGAGTGAGAGAAGAGTGTTGGTTAATTGATCCTGAATTCGCCTTTTCCTATAACTTCTTCTTCTTTTCTAATCGTTTATTATTCTTTTGTTGGTATTGTTATTGTTGTTGTTATTCGATGATGATAATTCTTCTATACTGCTTTTCTGTTCCTTGACTATTACGGTATTTAGGTTAAGTGAGGGAAACGCAAATTCGAAGTTCCGTTGCTGTGGGCTTTTCAATTTTGTATTGGAAGAGTGTTCTTGGTTTTTGGGTTTTGATTCTAGGGTTTGGGTGTTCTTCTGTGTTTTCTTCTATTCTTTTCTCCGATCTTCACCTTCTAATTCGATGGAAGCTGCTGCTTCCGACGGCGGAAATCACAACCTGAATAATGATAATATTAACAAAATTAGTAACTCAAGTGAGGGTCTTAGCAGGCCCAAGCGCCAGATGAAGACTCCATTTCAGCTGGAAACCCTCGAGAAGGCCTTTGCTTGTTCGTTCACAAACCTTTCCTCTTGTTTTTTCTATTTTTTTTTTTATAATTATTATTATTTTGCTTTCTCGCGTTTTGATTTTGTTGTGTTTCGTTGATTTGATCAGTGGAGACATATCCATCAGAGTCGACAAGGGCTGAGCTGTCGGAGAAATTGGGGCTCACCGATCGGCAATTGCAGATGTGGTTTTGTCACAGGAGGTTGAAAGACAAGAAGGAACCGGCGAAGAAACCACGAAATGTGGTACCGGCGTTGCCTGATTCTCCCATTGACGAATTGAGAGTGGTAGCCGAGCCGGGTAGTGATTACGCTTCAGGGTCGGGCTCGGGTTCAAGTCCATTCGGTGATGTTGGGCTGCGTAATGTGGCGTCTGGAAGTGGTGGAGAAGATATGCCGATGACGAGAAGGTATTACGAACCTTCAAGGTCCATTATGGAACTTAGAGCCATTGCTTGTGTGGAGTCGCAGTTAGGCGAGCCATTGAGGGAGGACGGACCTATTATTGGGATTGAATTTGATTCATTACCACCTGATGCTTTCGGAGCACCTCTAGGTATTGCTGATATTATTATTTTATTCTTATTAAACCATTCTTCTTTTCCGACTGCTTGTAGATGGACGTTAAAACATTCATATGAATAAAGAGGAGTTACTTACAGAACTTCAATTTGCATCAATCATGGATCGGAGTGCACAATGAGGACCAAGAGAAGAAGCACACGTTTTATTTTCTTGTTTCAGTCTAGATTTTTAGTATTGGTTTAATTGTTTTTAATCCTACTTAGGATGCATTTAAGTATTAGCTATGATATTGCAGTACGTTTAGCTGATCTTCCATTAACGTAGCCCCTCCGATGTTTTTGTTAGTCAAGTATCAGCTTGATAAGCAATGACGATGAAGCACCAGAATTTGAAGTTCGAGTTGTAATTAGGAGATCTTGATCGAGGATTTGCTTCAAGTTCTCCAAGCATTTTATGAAAGGGTCCTCGTTGATTCATTTATGAATGAAACCTTTATTTCCCCTCTGCAAAGAAGTCTGAGACATCTTATTGGAAGGATTCCAGGCTGACTAGTTTAGTTACTGGCCTTTATAAGCTTGTTTCTATCGAGGTGGCCAAGATATTGAGGTTGGTGTGGTGCGAGTTGCCTCTGTGGATTGGAGATACATTCTTGATCAAGTTTTCACTATTGAGAAGGCTATTGAGGATTGTTGATCTTATAAACAAGAGTGGGCTACTTCCATAATTTATATTTGAAAGACCTATGATTATGTGGAATAGGAATTTCTTAACAAGGTCCTTCTGGAAAGATGTCTTGGGCACAATGGCATTTTTGGGTAGGTGATTGCTTGAAATTGATTTAGTTTCATTCCTTGTCAATAGTATCCTGAGGGAAAAAGTATCGCTACCTGAAGAAAACTATAAATTGGATAGGAGTATTCGAGGATGGAGAGCCTTATAATATGGTCAATTGGAGTGATGTATAGAAAGGGGTGAGCTTAAGAGGTCTGTTGTTGGGAACCCAGTAAAAAAGAACAGTGCTTTCTTGGCTTAATGGTTTCAGTGTTTTCCTTTAGAACCTGGTTCTTGTGGTATGAGGTAATTGTGACTTGTTCATATGGTTATTAACTTGCTGGTGGGGGACTTCTTAGGTGGTGCGTAGTGGAACTCTTGGAAAAAGTAGTATCCCAAACGGTCTCTCTATGTTAGATAGGTCGTTTTTCTTCTCTCTTTTTTTTCTTTAAGATAGGAATCATTTGTTGTGGCTTCATCCCTTTTTTGTTCTTGTGTGAGGGGCACTACAGGAAAGCTTTTGGTGTTTGCTTAGTCCCTTTCAAAAAATATAAGAAAAAATTAAGAAGTGTTTTGAGCTAGTTAAAAGCACTTCTCTCTAGTCCAAATGTGATGCAAGTGACACTCTTATTGAGCTTAGTATTTTGTTTTTTACTCGCATAAATACTGCCTACCATCTGATGCTGTAAAGTTGATTTGTGGTTTTGATTTATTCGAAGATAAATTTTTTTCCATAAAATTGTTTATTTAATGGATAAAAACTGCTTGAAAAGAATTACTTGGATTATTTTATTTATTCAAATATATCTCAGAAACCTATTTTGTTTGCATTAGTCGTACTCTACTATGATCAGGTTTTCTCCTAGTATGTTGTTATCTTCTTGAGTATGACACTATGACTTGATGCTAGATTACAACAGTATTCTTGATGATAATAGTATTGTGCTGAACATTGTGTTACTTGTGATTAAACAGTGGCTGAACAGCAGAAGCGATCTGGACATTTGTATGGGGACAAATATGATCAACGGGATGCAAAATCAAATAAAGTTAGTCTATTTTGTTAATTGAATATGGTGTTCCACTGTACTTTAGCATTTCTACCCAATGGTGACATACTGATTCATCCTGATCTAAACCTTTCCTTATAATTTTTCTAGTCTCGCTGTCTCGATTATTCATGATGTTAAGTTTTTTGATTTATAAAATTTTCTGTTGGGCACTTCACCAAAGGTCCTCACTTTTCTTTCCCCTCGCATTGATGCTCTAGAGAGTTGCTTCGGCATGTCTTTGTGCTTTATAACACATTTTGAAGTTTTACTATGTTGCCCCTAATTGCTACCGTAGTGAGCCCTTTTAAGTAAAATTTTATCATGGATGTATATGTACATACATCTATATCTCTAACTATCTATATCTTTATATATAATATTTGTTAAGAAAAATGAAAAAAATTACACATGCAAATACAATTAGTCCACCTCAAAAGGAGCTTAAATACAGGCAACGGAAACCAAAGATAATAGTGATAAGAAAGGGCTCTAATTTGACCTGGGATTATTACAAAACTCCATGGTAACGTACATCCAAAGGGTAGTGTTGTAGGCAACACATCCCTGAAAAAGAAAAACTCAACCCCTTAAATATTATCAAGCTAAACAATCCACAATGTGATAGCAAGAGAGGTTGTCCTCCATCAGGCTCTTCCAACAGTGGGGTCGGTTCTTCCTTGTAAACAGCAGGTAAGACACCACCTCCAAACAACTAGTGCAAAAAATCACTATAGAAGGTGCAGAGAGAATTCCTTAATGAAGATTATATGCCAGCCTGATCATTATCAAATACAGATGTTTTATTGAGTTAATATAATCATTGAATATTATACAACTTGAGTTAACATAGTTACAATTGGAAATGATTTTACTTGTGTATCTACTTCTGGTTTATCATGTTGAAATGGACTGAATTCTTGTGCAGGCAACTGCAAGGGCATTCCCGGAATATTCATTTATGCCAGACCAGTCTAGAATTAGAGCTGATGCTTATGGACCAGTTGCCCAATCACATTATCCAGATTCATTAGTCGAGGTTTCAGCAGCCAGGACTCCATCATTTTTGCTTGGTCGTGAACAGTTGAATAGGAGCCATAATTATCATGGTCAGGTCTCAAGGGTTCGTCTTCTGTCTCAACAGGAGCAGCAAGGAGTTGCAGTTCCATCTCCTGCCGATGATAACACATTTGTTCCTGCAAGTATCAGGAATCCAATTGTTGCACAAGAAGATTCGTATATGTTACCTGATGGGCAAGTTTTCCCAAATGATGTCATCATTAGGATGGAAAGAAAACGCAAGGTATTCCCCAAGCATTCAAAAGATGCTGGGATACTTCCTTTTTTTTGGGGGGGGAGGGGGGTGTGTGTGGAGGGATTGTAGAGTTTGAATTATCTTATTTCTTACTGTTTCTTTCTGTAGAGTGAAGAAGCTCGTCTGAACAAAGAAGCTGAAGCCCATGAGATAAGAATGCGAAAAGAGCTTGAGAAACAAGACAATTTGAGGAAAAAGGTTTAATTTGTTGTTTAATTTATTTTAAATAATTATTAGTTTTCTTTTATAATAAAAGAAACTATGTTTACAATATGTATGCTGCTTTACTAAGAAAACTGAAAGAAACTTCTCTTCGAAAAACAATGAATTTTATTTCTGGCAGAGTGAAGAGCGAATGAGGAAAGAAATGGAAAAGCAAGATCGTGAAAGAAGGAAAGAAGAGGAGAGGTTACAGCGAGAAAAACAGCGAGAAGTAGAAAGGTTGAAGCGTGAGGAAAGACGTGAACTTGAACGGAGGGA